TTATGCTAATGAGTTCCTGCTGGGTGTGGCCAATTTGGGAGCCAGCCGGAACTCCGTTCCTGTGCGTTCCTGCCCAAAAATAGCCCTGGAGGTTCTTGATCCTAAACCGCTATTTTAGTATGCTGCTAGATTTATGCCACAAGCCTCTGTAAACTTTCCTGAAAGTCCTGTTGTGTTTAGTAAGGTTTACTTCTGAGTAAACATGCCCAATGGCCAAAGTAGCCATGGTTGTTTTTAGAGAGTTGAGTTCCGGTTCCCCACAGCCCCACAACAGCTGCAGGGAATGGCGGCTGAAAAACTACAGGACAGGCAATTTGGGCTTGGGATGCCGCCACAGGGGGAGGAAGGGTTCCTGCCTCCCTCCCCCCTCCCCAGCCATTTGCCTGAGCCAAAGCAGCCAAAGCAGCCAGACCCTTTAAAAACGAGTACATCTAGTTTGGCCCTTCGTTTGGACTGTCAAGGGGAATTTAGAAGTCAGTAACTGTGCCTTTAGAGCTCTTGCCTTGAAGATTCCACCACCACCCAAAAAAAAAGTCCAGTGGTGAGCTATTAGAAGGCAAAGAACTTGGTCAAACACAGACATACACCTCCACCCCCTCCAAGCGAAACAGTTGATCTTTGTTGCAGTGGTGTTTCCCGAGGGCACCACAAGAAGTTGAAATGGTTTGTTAGGGCAGGCAAAAGAGACTTTAATTTTACTTCTAAGTTTTGCATGCTGCCCTTCTACAAAAGGGCACTCACTCCAAGTGACTTGCGAAGAACATCGACCTGTCTAATAGCGACGTGTGGCCTTCATCTGGGGATACCTAAATCTGCAGATCAGGGCCACACCAACACTAAACAGATTATTCTGCAAACTTGGGGGACTCCCTAAAAGTTTGCAGAAAAAAATTTAAAATGTTTTTAAAAATCCATTGGGGGTTTAAATTCCTCCCGCGTTAAAAAGAACACAGTTACTGCCTCTTTCTGTGTCAGGATGCTGCAGAGGTTCGGAGCTGGTGTTGAGGGGGAGGGAGCCTTGGAGATCGGGAGCCATGCAGATCTTCTCTGATGCTGGTGTTTATAGGGGGAGGGCAGGAACAGCAGAAATAGACTGGGGTAGGTTGGCAGAAAAGGGGAGGGGGAGATGGACGGTAGGTTGCCAGATAAGGGGAGGGAGAGAAAGGGGGAAGATTGTCAGAGGAGGCGGCGGAGAAAGAGAAGTAGGGAAGATTGACAGAAGGGGAGGGCATGAGAAAGAGGGGAAAGATTGTTCAGGAAGGGAAGAGAGGGCAGTAAGCAAAGTCGGAGATGAGATGCACCCTCCCCGTAAGTTTCCTGTGGGTCCCCACTTGTAATATTCTAACATAAAAAAAACCCCTACAATTTGCAGTTAATTCCCTAAGAGCACAGGGCCACACAGTTGATTAGGCAGAGAACCCTGAAACAGCGGCCATTTAAAAGCATGGGACTCTCTGGCCTGGGGATTTATGGGTGAATCGTGTTTGTGTCCTGGCCTGCTAGGAGTCCCTACTGCGGGTTCGAAACACGTTATAATTATCTTGTCGGTCTCCTGAAAGAAATAACAAACAAAGGAGCTGAGAGAGAGTTACATCCAACCAACCTGAGGGGGGGGGGGAGGCAACAAACTAAGCACATCCCACCCCCACCCCCAGCATATTTAGGAAGTTCTCCTCACACATACACACACTGGGCTAACAAGCAGT